CAGCAGCCACCAAAGCAGCGCCATCCGCGACCGAGAGAGCCCCTCTAGCGAGGCGCGAGGCGTCCATTCCGAAGACGGCCGACCGAGCGCCAGGCATGCAATCGCTTGAGCCAAAATGGCTACGGACAGAGGCCTCTTGGGTGTTCGCTTGGGTCTCGTGAAGGCCTCTCGGGGGCCTCCTCGAGGTAGTGGGGCATCTTCGGGCTTCTCTGCGCCTCTCCGGGGTCTCTTGGGGCCTCGTGTAGGCCTCTTGGGAGCCTCTTGGGGGCCCCCAGGCCCTAGGGGCCTCTTGAGGCCTCCTGGGCGCATCTTGGGGCGGAAAGCTAGGACTTTCTGTTCGGGTTCCCCCTCTTGGCCACATCTTGAGGCCGTCTTCGGGTTCTCTTGGGCGGTCTTGAGCTCTCTTGGTTCGTCTTGGGGCCCTCTTTTTTTTGGCACGACAAAAGGACGCATGGCTGGGCGCGACAGCTGGAGCGACGATAAGGGAGGAAGGGAGGAGACGGATAGAGGGTCGAGTAAATCAAAGCGATGTGGCTCTCAGCATCGGCTCAGCCTCACTGAAGGCGTTGGACACTTGGCTTTGGCCACTGTGTGCCACCTCAATTGATTACATGACAACAAACCATGTGGCTATCTGCCGCTGCTCTGCTTGACTGAGCGGCTTTGGTCACGTGCGCGCCATGGTTCACGTTGCACCATCCCCGTCCTCCGTCGACTTTCGCTAACACTGTCAAGCGTAGGATGCAAAGGCAACAGATGAAGTATTTGAGCCACTCGGACCATTTCGGTACACAGGCTCATAGAGCTCCATACGCGTCGCACATCGTTCTGATGGCAAGGTCACGTCTTTGTGGTCGTCCTCCCCCAGAAGACCTCCGACGGCAAATCCTGCTCGCCCTAAATGTTTCACGAACACGTTCAAATACAAGGAGCCACTGTCCGTATGTCCATGAACGACTTTCAGCTGTGCTGGACCCAACGCGAGCCATTCTGGGACCTCGGCTGAGCTTTGAGAAACGCTGAAATGATACCCTCCAACTTGTTCGGCCTCTGCCCAATACCCTGTAACGTTCAATGCTTGGAAATACATGTCCGCGCAGTGTCCTCCCAGTCGGCGCGCATCGGCCTGCACACGAAGAAGTGCGTCTTCAGCGCTCAGTCCACGAGGGATGTTTATCAGAACATGTGTGCCCGCTTTCATCAAATCGAACCGCTCGCCATGAACGTTTTGAAGGTGGGGGTCCCCAACGGCAGCAGCGCTTCCGCCGATCGGGATGGCAGTCGGACTGGACGTCGGGAAAGCGGTGGGGTAGGCCGTCGGGTAAAACGTTGGATACGGGGTCGGAGATGGCGTCGCCTGGCTGGCAAAGAATGCGACCTGTCGGACAAGGACATGACTATTGCCATGACTACTCACGAAATGCAGCCTGACGAATTGCGTCGTCATTAACGCCAGCGAAAAGTCCTTCCGAGCAGGGCTCGAATCACCATTTGTAATTGCTTGCGACATGGCCCAAGGCCCATTCAAGCTGCTAGATGTGTAGATGTTGATGACCTTGGGACATTCGGTTCCACCCCATTTTGCATTACCGGGGGCAATCGCAATTGAAGCCACGTCGTAAACACCACCGAGATCAAAATAATACGAATCGCCAACGACTGGGTCTGGGCTCGGACGATTGGAAAGAGTGGTGTGCGTATTGTATCCGGATGAGAAGTCACCGTTCGTAAGTTTGGGCTCCTGCTGGAGAGCGTTGTTGTACCCGACTGTGGTTGGTACTTCAGACGGCGTCGCCGTCGAGGCACTCGCGGTCGTGGCCTCTGCGCCGCGATTCATGACACCGACGGACTGGTTGGTGGACACGACGGTCATGGCAGCCGTTCCTCCGATTGACGGCGACAGCCAGAAGACTGTGCTCAAAAGGAATCGGGCCATTGCGTTGGAGCAGACTGAACTTGCGCTGGATTGGAGCGAACACCGACGTTCGAGTGTGTAAGATTCAGTGGGATGGGAGCAGCTGCTCCTGCCGGAGGCGAAGCGGCTTGAGCCAAAATGGCTACGGATTCGTCTTGGGGCCCTCTTGGGGGCCTATCGGGCCGACTTGGGACGGTCTTGGGGCGGTCTTAGGGGCGATCTTGGAGGCCTCGTGCGCCGTTTTGTGGCGTCGGAAGCTCGGAAAGGCGATAATTCCAAAAACGGTCAAAATCCCAAATGAATATAATAACATGTGCCTCTCGGGTGAAGTCTTGGGAAGGCCCTGGGGGCTCCTTTGGGGCCTCTCCAAGGCTCCTGCCTTCGTGGGCCATCTTGGGCTTCTTGAACCGATCGTTCGGCGATGGTGGGCCCTCTTGGACAGACTGAGCGGCCTCTTGGGGCCCTCTTAGCTCGTCTTGGTGCCCACTTGGCCACGAACAAATCACGCGGGAAGACACGACAAACTCCAGGAAGCACCCGGAAAGCTCAAGAAGATCTCGCAATTTGGGGTCCGAATCCGTAGGATTGAGGGGTGAGGCTCAAGGCATCGGACAAGGGCCCTGAGGACACTCCAACTCGTGCTTCAAGGGCACGGTGACGTATTTTCAACATAGGATGATGAAGGTTAGGTCGTATGGATGTACGCCTACACCGAATCGCACATGTTGCGTAGGATCGTGAGGGTTGGGTCTGATGGACGTGCACCAAAAATTAGTTATTGCGTCGAATTGAAGCGCTGGGGCGTATAGATTCGCGCCGAAGAAAGGACGTTGTTTACATAGGATGGCGAAGGTTGGGTCGTCTGGAGGTGAGCAGGCTTGCATTTGTTGCATACGCTGGTGAGGGTTGGGCCGAATGGATACGCACCGAATAATATGTGTTGCATCGGATGGCGAAGGTTGGGTCGAGTAGATGCGCGCGGCGCTAGGCGAGAGCCACATGTTGAAAACGAACCGGCTTCCATCCATGAAGCTGTTGCAAATGTTTGAAACGGATGTGCGCGGCACTGCGGCGATAGCCATATGTTGAAATTTAGCCGGCCTCCTTTCTTGAAGCTGTTGAAATTTCCGAGACACCCGGCCTGGCCTATGGATACGTCCAATGCTACAACAGGGCTGAGTTATCTATGAAGAAATGGAACAGAAGAAGGGGGACACCACGAAGGATGAACCTAAAATCGGCGATAGGCCAGCACACTCAAAATTGGCATGGTGTCTTGTGCGGGCGCCGGGGTGGACAAACCCTGCCCACCTGGGAAAGAATAGAAGCAAGCAAAGAGGAGCCGGGAAAAAGAGAACAGGAGGACAAGCCACATTACAGAATACGGCAAGTTCGTGCCGTGCCGACTTCGGCGTTGATTCCTGACACCACGGGGATCGTTCAACCTTGAACGAACGGCCCTTTCCGAAACGTCAGCTCGTTCAGCATCGACCGATTCTGGGTCGCCGGCGACGTTCAACGATGAACGCCGGCGGCGGAGTCGCCGCCGGTCGGTACGACGCGAACCTACCATATATAGGTTCGCTCAAAAAAAATCGGGCTCGTGGCTGCCGACATGAAGTGCGATACCCCGTACGGACAAGCCCCATCGGCCAGGTTTATCACTGCAACACAACGTGAGACACGAGAGAAAAACGAATAACGGGAGAAGCAGGGAAAAGGAGGAACACACAAATGACCCAACGGCCGAGGACGACACACGTGGACCCAAAAGCTGGCGTCCCTGGACCCGGGCGCAACTATCCCCCTGCGGGGGTGCAAACGCGGAGCAGCGGCCTCCGCGCCCAGAGAGGGGAGGGGGAGGGGAAGGGACGAGGAGGCGGAAGAAGAGGAGGAGGAAAAGGAGGAGCAGATGGTGGTGGAGGAGGTGGAGGAGGAGGACCAATACAAACCCAACAATGACCAACGATGTTGAAATCAACCCTCCCCCCAAACTCCCTCCCCACAGGCTCCTATAACAGTTCATTTCCAATCCTGCCTCGTTCAGAGAACAGCCGTTGGACGACCCCGAAGCTTGCCAAAATATTGTTGCCGGGATTCCACCGGCACGGATCAACCTGACTGTTGCGTCTTGACGACCCTTCACGCCATTTCTGGGATTTCAACACCGCAAATCATGGCAAATGTTGCACCCTCATAATCGTGAACCTTTCCAAAACATCAGTGGTACGTCGATCGTGGGAATCCGTGAAACTTCTGTAATTTCTTACAACGGGTGTGCGCGGCGCAAAGGCGGGAGCCACATTTTGAAAACCACCCGCCCTTCATCCGTGAAACTTGTGCAATTTGTTGAAACGAGTGTGCGCGACGCTCAGGAGAGAGCCACATTCTGAAAACCCCCTGCCCTCAATCAGTGAAATTGTCGCCAGCTTTCAAGCTTCAGGGTCATAAATGGTGAGGAAGTCTCAGGCGAAACGCCCAGCCCGCCCAAAAAACTGGCCTCGGGGTGCGACAGGGAGAAGTGATTTAGAAGAAACCGGAATGGAGGAGGAGGACGACGACGACGACGACGAGGAGGAAGGGGAGGAGGAGGAGGAGGAGGAGGAGGATGATGGATGGATGGATGGATGGATGGACTCGGCATTGCGCTGTGAGTCTGAAGACACTCACCCCTCGAGCTCACGAAACAAGAGATCGCCCGGGGACACCTCTGAGCAGTCGTGCGATCTCCTCGGACCGAACGAGGTCAGGCGTGTGGGCGCGCCGTGCAGCTGTGATCACCTTTGATCAGAGCCGAGCAGGACAGGAAACGGGAAGACGCCCGCGGGCGGGGGGTGATACCCCTCTGGCCCCTGGGGGCCGAGCTCGACGGCGCGGAGAGCACCGAGCAGGCTCCCTGGACACCCAGAGGCCCCGAGAAGGAAAAAAAACAGGCCGAAGAAAAGAGCCGACGGCGCGCCCTAGAGACCAGGGGCGGCGAGAGCGACTAGAGGGGCCTGGTGCTACAGCGAAGCTGCTGGAGGGACTCACGTCGTCACGTAGTGTGCTGGTCGCCCATCTCTTTCCGTAGGATCCGCCACCCATGTCAGCCCTTCTGGCCGTAGTGGATCTGGCGGTTCTTGTCTAGCAGTTTCTGGGCCATCGATTCCAGGTGGCCCAGAGGGGCCGTCCCCATCTTCTGGCGGCCGCCCAGAACGTCGAGGCATGTCTCCCGAGGGCCGTCTGGGTTGACGCTCTTCAGTGTGATCTGGTCCGCGTTAGCGAACTGCATCCTGGTGTACTGGTCGTAGTGGCGCGTGCGCAGCCTGAGGTGGAGCAGAGCTCCGAGCCCGTCCCCATGCAAACGAACTGCTGGTAGAAGGTACGCGGGAGCACGTGCCCCTGCGGGGCCTCCTGCTCCACGGAGGCCGACGGGTACTTGAACTCGGCGTGAGCGATGTACAAATGTGGTGAGTTGGGGCTTCGCCTCGGGGACCTGCTCCGCCTCTGCGTACATCTTGCCCGCTTCCCGAGCTGCGACGATCGAAGTAGCCGTGGGCGGGGTCACGATGCTGATCCATTCCGAGGCCGCGAGGTCCCTGAGCTGCTGGGCGTGCTGGCGCACCATCTTGGGGAGGAACGTGACCGCCTGCTGCAGGTCGCGCGGCTTCGGAGCGCCCTCCAGACGAAGCATGTCGCGCCGCAGCGGCCCGAGAGCGCCGCGGGCGGAGGGTAGATCCGACGTAGGTGTGCCTGCGGAAACCGCTGATGTAGGAAGATGTTCCCCCCGCAACTCTTGTTGGTCCGGCCGCAGGAGAGCTCCCAGTGGTAGTCGTGCTGAGAGAGGCTGTGGCGGCCGTCCAGTGTCGGGCGGCGGCTCGTCCCAGGGAAGAGGATCACGCCCATGTAGTGCTCGCAGGTGATCTCCTGCGCGCGGGTGCTGCCCGTCAGGTAGAGAGGGTTGTACACGTAGAGCCTGGTGTGCTGAGCAGGTTGAGGCTCTCGCTCCTGAGTGCGTCCAGGGGCGCGGCAAGCGCCTGTCGACGTGTAGGCGGCCGCCCGCGGCGAGAAGCCAACGGCCGCGAGCAAGAGGAGAGCCTCCATCATGGGCCTCTTGGGCCCCGCGGGCGCGTGGGCATCGCGCGCTGCTCCCCTGGCGGGCGATGGAACAGGGTGGGAGGGCCGCGCGTCCCTCGACCTTCAGCCGTGGCGACCTTCAGCCGTGGAGGTGGAGGAGGAGGAGGAGGAGGAGGAGGAGGAGGAGGAGGGAGGAGGAGGAGGAGGAGGAGGAGGAGGAAGGAGGAGAGAGGAGGAGGAGGAGGAGAGGAGGAGGAGAGGAGGAGGAGGAGGAGGAGGAGGAGAGGGGCAGCAAGCAGGCAGGCAAGCAGGCGGCAGCGGGGGAGCACTGCCGCGGGAAGTGGGCCACCCCGCCCCACAAGTTAGGCGCGTGTGCTGGCTGGGGGGCGGGCAGAAGCGGGGGTCCAGGGGGGGCCCGCACCTTCGGGGACGGGCCGGCCGGCGCCCCTAGTCGTCGCCCTGACGTGGGCGGCCGCCCGCCACCACAGCGCCACGTCAGCCGCGCTGGCCAGACGGCGGCACCGCTACGCCCTGTCCGAACAGTCCCTCCGCCAGACACGTTAGGTCGCGAGTGTGCGGAGGATAGATGTCGTCCAAGGGGTGGGATCGGTCGGCCGTAAGCTGACCTGCGAGGAGCGTAGACCGCAACTGTTCCTCCTCCTCCTCCTCGTCCTCCTCCTCCTCCTTTTCCTCCTCCTCCTCCTCCTCCTCCTCCTCCTCCTCCTCTTCCTCCTCTTCCTCGTCCTCTCCTCTCGTCGTCCTCCTCCTCCTCCTCCCTCCGCCCCTCCTCCCCCTCCACTCCTCCTCCTCCTCCTCCTCCTCCTCCTCCTCCTCCTCCTCCTCCTCCTTTTCCTTATCCTCTTCCTCCGCCTCCTCCCCCATTCCTATCTCTTACAAACAACTTCTCCCTGTCGCACCCCGAGGCCAGGTTTCAGGGCATCCTGGGCGTTTCGCCTGAGGCTTCCTCACAGGCGGATCGTTTTCAAAATGTGGCTCTCGCGGTAGCGCCGCGCACGCTCGTTGTTTGAAGTTTGCACGAGATTCACGGATTGAGGGCGGATGGTTTTCAAAATGTGGCTCACGCCTTACCGCCGCGCACATTCGTTGTGCAAATGTGTACGAGCTTCACGGATTGAGGGCGGGTGGTTTTAAGGCGGCTCTCTTTTTCTCTCTCTCTCTCTCTCTCTCTCTCTTTCTCTCTTTCTCTCTCTCTCTCTCTCTCTCTCTCTCGCTCTCTCTCTCTCTTTCTGCCCCTTAGCGCCGCGCACATTCGTGTTCTTGTTTTTTGTTGCAAGAGCTTCATGGATTGAGGGCGGGTGGTGTTCGAAATGTGGCTCTCTCCTTAACACTGCGCACATTCGATTCCAAAATTTGCCAGAGCTTCAAGGATTGGGGGCGGTTCCTTTTCAAAATGTGGTTCTCGCCCTAGAGCAGCGGACATCCGTTTTAAATATTGCACAAAATGTTCACGGATTCTCATAACCAACATACCAGAAACGACGTTCTGGAAAGATTCCAGATTATGAGGGCGCAACAATTACGTTGATTCGCTGTGTTGAAGTCCAGGAATTGCGTTCTGGCACGATTCAGGACCGTCAATACGCAACGCATAAGCTAATGTGTGGCGTTGGATCCCCGAGAACAATGTTTTAGCATACTTCAGGGTCTTCGAACGGTTGTCTTCCAACGAGGCAGTTAGTTCCCTCAGTGAAAATGAAACGCTGTAGGGGTCTATGAAGAGGAAGCTTGGAGGAAGGGTTGACTCCAACATCGTTGATGACTCTTGGGTTTGTACTGGTCCTCCTGGTCCTCCTCCTTCTCCTCCTCCTCCTCCTCCTCCTCGTCCTCCCCCTCCTCCCCCTCCTCCTCCTCCCCCTCCTCCTTCTCCTCCTCCTCCTCCCCCTCCTCCTCTTCCTCCCCCTCTTTCTCGCCTCCCTCCTCCTCCCCCTCCTCATCCTCCTCCTCCTCCTCCTCCTCCTCCTCCTCCTCCTCAGCCGCCGCTTCTGCTCAAGCCACCTTTTCAGCGGCCAAGCAGGCACCCCGCGCAGAGCAGTTCCGCCCGCAGAGAGCGCCTTCCATGACATGCCAGCCTGGCTGGCCTCCATATGTTTCGTGACAATCTGGATCGGCATGTCGTTCCTCCGAGGGGGAATATATACAATCTCGCTGCTGGCGCTGCTTCGCTGCCTCGTGTTCAGACTCACCTACAGCGCCGTGGACGTGAAGATTCCAGCTACGCGGTGGCGACTGCTCGGCGCCAGCTCACAAGTCGACCAGCTCAAGTCTTTCAAGCAAGAAGTCGGCACGAGGGGCTATGACCGCGGACCGCTCCTCCATTGTCATGCAGGGTCGGTGTACTGGGTGAGCCAAAGGTTCGGTCCGCCTGCCGTTGTCGATCATGAGAGCCAGCCCAAGCAGGTACAAGGACGCGCTGGTGCTCTCAGCTACCAGCGGGGCGAGCTGGAACTCGTATTCATCGTGGCCTACTCCCCGCCTCGCTCAGGGCTTGCGGCCAAGTCCATCCAGTGGGTCAACACGGTCAATGAGATGCTCAAGGGGATCAACAGTACGCCTCCTGCCTCACTGACGTGCAGCACACCTTCGATAGGCAAGGACCTCACAGTTTTCAGGTATGGAGCTGACGTACTCGTTGCAGCTGTTGTAAGTGAAGTCTTCAGTGACCCGAAACTAATCGGGCGGACAGGTGAAGCAGCTGCCTCCTGCCATTACGTTCTGGAAGATTGCGGAGTTTGCCTCACCAAGACCGCCTGGCAGGCTGGCCCTACCTATTTTGGTGCAGATGGACAAGCTACGAGACCTGACTACCTCGAGGTTCCTCATGGGCTGTCGCTGAATCCTCACACAGGCGGTATTTGGTGAAGGCAGGGACTACTGTACTGCCGCTCAAGGACATCGGGACCAAGGACCACGAGCCACTCATCGCCAAGGCCGACATCGTCATGCCCAACCTCATCTCAGACATTCTTCGGTCGTTCTGGGATTGCGACAAAATTACAGAGTCCCTACAGACTGGGGATATTCGCAACGCGTTCCTCTCAGCCCTCGCGACCGCCCTGGAGAGCAACACAGATACCATCCGCGAGCTCAACGAGCAGGGTACTTCCTGCGCCCAAAGGAAGCTTTTGATCGACATGCTCAAGACCACCGCCAAGCCCCGCTTCGAGAGAAAACCAAAAAAGCCTGGCACCTTCAAGCAACTCACGGCAGAGCTGCTCGAGCTCCTGAAGCAAAGTGTAGAGCTACGCATGCAGTACACTGGCGCAGAATTCGAACTTGACATCGGAGAGAAGCTGGATACACACACGAGACCTTCCAGAAGCAGAAGCCGCTTCACGACGCAGTACGCAAGAGAGCTACAGAGGCACAGTTGTCTGAGGCATGGAATAATAGGCAGCACGTAGAAATACATCTACTCAGTAGGTGCATGGCAGGCACCAAGCTCGGCCAGAGGAACCGCAACTACTACAGCAGGGCAACCCGTTCGAGACCGAGCCTCGCCGAGAGGACTACGCAAGGCGCACCCAATAGCGCTCACGGAGGATTTCTGGCCCTTCATTACGACCTCGATGAAGAGAAAAAGCAGCTCCTGGCCCCCTGCAAGGACCGCGACGTCGACATCAAGCAGCATTTCCAGGACGAGTATTACGAGGAGAAAGAGAAATTGGGCATCCTTTCGTGCGGAGTCAAGAAGCGGCTCAACCACTGCAAAAAACGAGCTCCAGTTCCCGAACGGTCAATGCCAGCTGATATCTCCCAGATCATCCTGCAGTCTACAGTTACCTCAAAGAGCAAGCCGCTGGCCCATGACCTTGGATACAACGAGGAGCTGAAGGAGGCGCCGCGGTCCGTTCTACGTCTCGAAGGGCTTCTCCCTCATGTTTTACGGGTCGGCTTAGCTCTATTGGATGCTCATCACAGCCCAGGCTTCATGCTCGATATGACGAACGCCAAGCCCTCAATTCCAGAATTGCGTATACTGCACATGTCTTGGTCACTCAGGCGCAGCGTGTACGGTCAACTACAAGGCCACAGTCGTCTCCAAGCTCTCCAAGCTCCTCACAGTAGTCATTATGCAAGTTTTCGCCAACGCGCAGCAGCTGGAGTGGTTGGTGGCAGCGGTGTTCAACACGTACCCTCTGCCCATTCAGAACAACGTCAAGGACCTCAAGACCAGTCGCATACTCTACGCGGAGAAGGGCAGGGCGCAGGGCAAAGGACGCGCTTTCTGGCCACCAGAGGGGCCACCCTTCATGACACTGTTTATAACCCTCTGTTTAGAGGACGTGGGAGGCAAATCGAGAGTGCCACTCACGGAGCACGGCCATCCTGGACCATATCAACGCAGAGACGGTACTCCGCAAAGTCTAATACATCAAACTCAGCAAGAGCTTCGTGTCCTAGCAAGCGTTGCTCACGCTGCTCATCGTGCAGGGCCCCAAGACGGACGCAGAGAACGTGGAGACACCGACGGTGGAGCTGCTGCAGCGGCTCAGCTCCAGGATATCATTCTCCACACACCACTGCAGACAGGAGCGGTGGTCAAGGAGGGCAAGGCACCAGTGGAACTCAAGGACGTTGAGCTGGCTGCATGGTCAGCAGGACCGTGAATTTGTATGGAGGCCGACTTATCTACGCCATGGTCGGTTTCAAGCTCGGCGTGCGCGACGCCGTGAGCTGAGTGAAGGCGCCAACGCTGTGCGGGCGACGGCGGGGGCTAGAGCACGAGGCACGCGCCAGACTCCGCCCCCCGAGGCCACTCTTCTTCTTCTTTTTCTTCTTCTTCTTCCTCCTCCTCCTCCTCCTCCTCCTCCTCCTCCTCCTCCTCCTCCTCCTCCTCCTCCTCTTGCTGCTGCTGCTGCCGCTGCTGCTGCTGCCAGCTGCTGCTGCTCTTCCTCCTCGGCCCCCCCCGCCCTCCTCCCTCCGGCCTCATGTTCCTCGACCCCTCCTCCATATCCTGCAGGGGGGGAAATTCGGCGGGGCGAGGCCCGCTGCTGCCCCCAGTCGAACACCGTGTAGTAGCGGTGCAGCACCGGCTCTCCGAGGATGAAAAGTTTGGGGCCGAGTGGCTCCGGCAGCCTCGCAAGGGCACACAACGGAGGACGAGGAGGAGGAGGAGGAGGAAGACGACGAAGACGAGGAGGACGACGAGAAAGAGGAGAAGAAAGAGGAGGGAGGAAGGAGGAGAAGGAGGAGGGCCAATGTAAACCCCCCTCTGCATCACGACCGTGGTAAAAAAAAATCATCCCCCCTGAAGTTGCTCCCAGGCGCTCTGTTCGGCCTCCAGACGGCCAAGATGGTCTCCAAGACGGCTTCCAAGACAGCGAAGACGACAACTCGAGATGGCCCACGATAGCTCAAGAGCCTCCCGAGACAGCTTCAAGATGGCCAAGGAGGCTCCCAAGAGGGCCTGCTCAAGAGGCCCCCAAGACAGCCCAAGAGAGCTCCAAGAGGCCTGCCTGGAGAGCCCATGGGGGTCAAAACCATTGATGTGCCCTAGGTTTTTGAAGGGTTCTGGCGTTCTCGCCTGTTCAGGTTTACGACCGGCCAGTGCGGCCCAAGAGGCCTCCCAGAGGCCTCCACGATAGCTCCAAAACAACCCAAGAGGCCCCGAAGAGGGCCCCAAGTCGGCCGACGAGGACCCAGAGAGCACCCAAGGGGCTTCCCAGAAGGCCCCGAGACGGCCTTGAAGCGCTTCTAGAGAGCAACAAGACAGCCCAGAGAGACCTCTTGGGCTGCCTTAGGCGGTCCGAAACCCAACCTTGCCAGAACCTCAGAACAGTCAAAAACCCTAGGACAAACCATGGTTTTGGCCTCCTCGGGCTCTCCTGGATGGCCTCTTGGAGACCTCTTGGATCTCCTTGGGGGTCTCGTGATATGTCTTGAGTCCCTCTTGGAAGCCTCATGGCTTCCAGGACGGCGTTCAAGGCAGCCAAGATAACACCAAGATGACACCATGGTGGCCCAAGACGGCTCAAAAAGTTCCCAAGACAGTTTCAAGACAGATCAAGAAGCCCCCAAGACGGCCCAAGAGAGCTCCAAGAGGCCCTCCTGGAGAACTCAAGCAGGCCAAAACCATTGATGTGCCTTAGGTCGTTGAAGGATTCTGAGGTTCTCGCCTGTTCAGGTTCCCGACCGCCCAAGACGGTCTAAGATGAGAGGCCTCCAAAATAGCTCCAAAACAACCTAAGAGGCCCCGAAGAGGGCCCCAAGTCGGCCCAAAAGGACCCAGAGAGTGCCCAAGGGGCTTCCCAGAGGGCCCCGAGACGGCATTGAAGCACTGCGAGAGAGCAACAAGACAGCCCAAAGAGACCTCTTGGGCTGCCTTGGACGGTCCGAAACCCAACCTTGCCAGAACCTCAGAACAGTCAAACCCTAGGACAAACCATGGTTTTGGCCTCCTCGGGCTCTCCTGGATGGCCTCGGAAACCTCTTGGATCGCCTTGGGGGTCTCTTGATATGTTTTGAGTCCCTCTTGGAAGCCTCATGGCTTCCAGGACAGCGCTCAAGGCAGCCAAGATGACACCATGGTGGCCCAAGACGGCTGAAGAGGTCCCCAAGGCAGCCTCCAGACAGATCAAGAAGCCCCCAAGACGGCCCAAGAGAGCTCCAAGAGGCCCTCCTGGAGAACTCAAGCAGGCCAAAACCAGTGATTGTCCTTGGGTGTGTGAAGGAGTTTGAGGCTTCGCCTGTTCGGGTTTCCGACCGCCCAAGACGGCACAAGAAGCCCCGAGAATAGGGTTAGAATCGTTCCAAGACAGCCCAAGACCCCCGAGAGGGTCTCAAATCGGTTCAAAAAAATCAGAAATGGCCCAAGAGGCCCCCATGAGGGCCCCAAGACGGCCGTGAACCGCTCAAAGAGGCCACCAACACAGCCTAGAGAGGCCCCAAGGCGGCCTCCATAGGCGTCAGGCTGCCCAAGGGCCCCCTAAAGACTGCCCAAGAGGCCCCACGAGGCCCCAAAGGAGCTTTCAGGAGCTCCCAAGAGGCCTTCAGGAGGCCCCAACAAGGCCCCAAGAAGCCTTCTCCTCCTCCTCATCATCATTGTCCTCCTCTCGTTCCCCCTTCGCCCCTTACAAATAAAATCATGCGCGCGCACTCGTCTATCTAAAACCCTCCGTTTGGAAATATCCCTTGCGACAAGTGGGACGAAGTCCACGCGCGCAAGCCGACGAGTGCTTACCGAAATCCTTCAAAAACCTTGGGCGTCACACTTTCCGTAAATACATAAAACACATGGTTATGCAGGATTGTTCCAGAAAGGTCTGCACGCGTGTGCGAAGACAACCATAGGTGTTGCAGCATTTTCTCCAGATGCGATGCAACGTGCCTCTCGCGCGCGCATGCCAAAATAATTCGAACGCCGTTGAGCGCGTGCTGGGGGGCGCGATCCATGTCGAAGAATATCACGCGGGCCACTCGCGCGCGTCGGCCGCGCGCGCGTCGAAATCCATCGAAATCTTTTTTCGCCGACACGTGGACACCATCATCGTCGCCGCCGTGATCAACATCGGTGCCGTTGGCTTTGCCGTCGTCGTTGTCATCGTCGTCACCTGCCTGCGTCGCTACTATCATCCTAGTGTCTGCGATTGTCGAACCTGGCCTGCGTGTAACCCGGCCCGCCCGCGCGGCCCCGAACATTGCCAGTTCCCACACGCCCCCCCCAAGGCCACACCAGCCTTGACACCGTAATCGCCGCTTATCACGCGACAGCATCGACATCCGACTGCGCGGCCGCCCCAACCCGCACCTGGCTCAGCCCTGGCGCCGCAACGCCAACTCTGCGCCTTCCCAGGCACGGTTACCTGGCACCTCCTGCGTCTCACCTCTTTCTCTCCAATCCAGGCTGCGCGCTGTCCGCCCGGGCGGTGCGCAATCCTGTTTTCACGTTCTCACAAGTCGTTGCACCGCTCAGAGGATTTCTCGCCTCCTCTCCTCCCCCCGCCCGCCTTGGCGGCCCCCGCCGCCGCCCCTCCCCCAGCGCGCCTCCGCCGCCCCGCGTGGCGCGCCACCCGCCCCTCGCACGCCGCCCTGGCCCCTCAGGCCTCGGCGCGCGCCGCCTCGGCGCCCGCGTCCGTTCTCTGGGCACCTGAACGGGGGGCGGTTCTTCAGCCACAGTTTCGCCGCCCTCCGCCGCAGTCACCACCTGGTTGCTGCGCGGCGGGCGCCTCGCAGCGCCCAGCCAGGCCGCCGCTCGCGCCGCCTCGCGGGCCGCCGCCGCCGCCCCGCCTGCCGGGCGCCACCCGCGGGCGGGGCGCTCCTCTCTTCCATTTCCTCCGCCCCCCTCTCCTTCTTCGCCCATGTCACCTCGCGCCGCCATGGCGGCTCTGTGCCGCTTCGCCCTCGGCTCGCAGCTCCGCCGCCCCGGCGCCGACCCGGCGCTCCGCCCAGCCCCTGGCGCGGCCGCTGCCCGCGCACGTCGGGCGCCACGCGGTCGACGTCCATGACGGGCGCAGCATTCTGCTGGCGGCAGTCCTCGAGCCCCTGTACTGGTTCTACTTGCTCTTCACCGCTGCTTCGCCCTGGCAGAGCCCGCGGGCGCGCTCCGCCCTGGCCCGGGCCGTCGCCGCGACCCCGCTGCCCTGGCTGGCCGCCCTGGCCCGTCACCGCGAAGTTTTCCGCTTCTGACCCCCCCCCTCCCGCGCGGCCGCCCCCCCCCCCCATTTCTTGCACGCCGGATAATTTGCCCATCGGTGACCCCCCTTCGCCCGACGCTGGCGCGGATCGACCCCGCCACGCCGCCGACGGAAAAAATCTGCGCACGTCGAATGGCACTGCGCCCGTTCCAGGCACCGACTCGCGCCGACGCGCCCGAGCGCCAGCGCGGCGCGCAAGACGCGCTGAAGGCGGCCAGCACCGCCGCAGCCGCGCCGGTCGCGCAAAACTAACTGGTCGCTCCGCGCGCAAGCCTGCGCGCGCTGGCGCGGCCGGGGCGCCGCGCCAGCCAGCGCCGAGCAGCCGTCGCAATCGGCGCCGCGCGGGCCACCTCAATTCAGACCAAGTCGCGGGTGGGACGGCGGCGAGCACTGCAGTTTAGATTCTCAAATTCGGCCGGGCGAATTCCGCCGCGCAGAGCGCGCCGCATTTATTACGCAACATATGTTTCATGACATATGAATTCTTTTCTCAAAAAATATAGACCACCACCACCCCGCCCGGCGGAATTCTCTACCCTCCTTGGGCGCGTTGCAAAATGCAGGTGATGCTTCCGAATCGTCCGTTTTTTGTTTTAAGACACTGCGCCATCCCCGGGATTCCCTTATACGCGGGCATGGTTTTTGAATAAAACACACATGTTCCAACGTCTTCTGCAACAGATGCGACAAAGTCTTCGCGCGCGCCGTCTCGCTCGGGCGTCGGGATCCCTCGCAAGTCTCAGGTTTCGCAAGGATCCCCGGGTCGAGGTCCCTGAATCATCTTGAAACGCAGCGTTCTTAACAACAACTGCAAAATAAATCTGCGCGCGCTCTGGCGGAGCCTCCGGGGAACAACAGGCGTATTCATCTTTTCGTAAAACGATACCGCACCGGCCTCTCAAGCGCGCGTGGCGAAATCATTCGGACGCCCTAGCGCGCCTGCGGGCGCGGGGGGGAGGGGAGGGGGGGGGGGCGATCCCTGTTGGACGATCCCGCGCGGGCAACTCGCGCGCGTCGGCCGCGCGCGCAGGTCGAACTCAGCGACGCATTGATATCATCGCCGTCATTGGCGCGACCAGCATCGGCGCCGCCATTGGCCTTTCCGTTGCCATCGCTACACTCGCCACCATCATCCTCACGATAATCACCATCATCGTTTCCGCCGTTGTCGACGTCACCACGACGCAGCGCCCGGCCGAGTCAACGACCAGCATCGCGGCGCCCGCGCGCCATCGCAGCCCGCGAGACGTGCCGGGGGGCGCCCAGCGGCCAGCGCCACCGCGGCCGCGTCGGTTGCGCCCAACTAGCCAGCCGCTCTGCGCGCGAGCCTGCGCGCGCCAGCGCGGTCACAGAGATGCGCCAGCAAGTGCCGAGCAGCCATCGCACTCGGCGCCGCGCGGGCTTTGCCAGCCAAGTTGCGTCCTCGCGAGGTCGGGCATGCCC